CTAGCTCTGTAGCATTTCTACACCTTTAAAGGTTCATAAGAAGGCAATAGCTCTGTATGTCAGAATTAACTGGGCAGCATGACAGTGCAGGGACATGTGTTTAGAGTGTGTGTGAAAATGCCTTATTAGTGTAGTCTTCTGCGCATGTTTTCTTGTGGTTTTTCCTTTCTTCTTTAAGCAGGTGTGTGGAGGGAGGCATTCCCATGGCATACGAAGAGTGCTGTAAGACTTAGTGTAATCATGCAGAGCAGTTTGCAGAATTCTTGCCATGCTGGTATTCTTTGGTTGAAACTGCTGTACGCAGAACTAGAGAAAAGTGCATTGTTTCAGAGCATCCTCTTTTCAGAGAAGGCAGAGACTGGAAAGGAGATGCTCATTTGGATCCCTTCCCATAGGGTTACTTACATTTTGAGAAACACATGTTTGTCTGTGCAAATCTGCCACGGTTCTGGCTACTACTCTGTTTGGGCAGATGCTTCTTAATTCCTTAAGGAGAACAAAAGGAATAAGAAATGTGCGACAAGAGGCCCTGCTGTCTCCTAGTTAGCAGTAAACCCAGCATGCAACAGGGAGTGGGTTACACCTCTGAAAAAGCAGTTTCTTTTCAGCTGGATGTGTCCTGGGAGTCCTCCAAAAAGTTTGGCACAGATAGGTCAATGAAACTTGGTAGTCCTTTGGATGATTCCATCAATACCACTTGTATGTTATTCTTAATCGCTGAAGCAACTTTGTAAAGCTAAAACAAATGGCTTCCACTTCACAGTACGGTAACAGAGACTGCAGGAAGCCATGCAGTAATAGGGCTGAGTTTAGAATAGAGGAGATCCCAGTGCTGCAGCACTGAAAAGGTCTTAAAATTGCTAAGTCAGATTTGTCAGGTTTGCATTGTTGAAAAGATGCGTGGTGGTGTATTGTGCTACAGTGCAATACGCATCGTAATGTTGAGGTTTAAGTATCAGCAAGGTATGGACAGCACACATTCATTAAACCCCTGATGTGCTGCTGGCCAGGGACTTGCAGTCAGTACTTCCAGGACCATGGAAGCTATATGCTAGCTGTCAAATGTGCTAACAGAGTTATCTTCACATTTCTTATTCAAGATATGATCACTTGAAGAGCATATCAATATTTTACAATTAAATCATTAGTTGGATGTGGGGTAATGAGAGATGCAAACAGCTGTGCTAATTGGGATAATCAAATTTCATGTCTCCCAGCATCAGCTGATAATCATAAAATGATCCCCCTTTTGTCATCTCAGTGCAGCTTCCCACAGCTTTATGAAGCTTTTTCTCTTCCTTGGAAGCATCCCGCTAAAGGCAGGCAAATTTGCCTGGCCATGAGTGTTATCTGCTGCAGCAAATGATACTTTAATGAGCTGGCTGACCTTTGGATACGGAGTAGCACGTTCTACTGGGTGGATTTTGTAAAGCATGTCTGTGTGTGTAAGCACCAGTATTTTTACTGTAAAAGCGTCTCTCCTTTAGATCAGGTGAAGGAGACTTGTGCATCAGCAGAACCAGAACTCGGGTGTATTGAATTCATGACCTTAATTTATTAACTTCTCAGGTTCAGAATCTGCTACTTATTGCAGTTATAGAGACTGAAGCACTGTGCAGCCCATCCTTTGAGTGCTACTACAACGCAATCAAAGCCTAATTGCAGTCATGCTTCTGAAAAGGTGTCTAGTCGCTGCAAATAAAAACTGAAGCCCCACAGAATGTGTGTGCATGCAAAGATTATCCAGTTAATGTAAAGGACATTTTAAATTTAATTTTATGTATATGTATTTTTAATTTTAGGAATCTTTCAAAGAAATACCAACCCAAAAAGAACTCCAAAGAAGAGGAAGAATACAGGTATGTTCATGATCCACTGCTGACTCGAGCATGCATTGGTGGAGGAAGGGGAGAAGTTTGGGTTACCAACTAGGATTTGGCTTGTAAACCAAGGATTTTGAAGTCATGTACAAGAGTATAGAAATTAGAGATGCAGAAACAGATTTATATGGTAGATGCTAAGGAGTGGATTTTCAAAGTTTGGATTTGGTCTGTAACTACTCAATTCCCTTTATGTGTTATGGTTTCTGGATGCCTTGTTTGGGGTTTTATGTTTTGGTTTGTTTTTTTTCATGTACTTTAAAAACTTTAAGCCAGACTGTATGATCCTGGCTCTTTGACGTGAATGAGCAAACTCTTAACTACTTTCAGCAGG